TACTTACAGATATACCAGTCTTCATTTTTCTTGATGTTCGGGTAAAGAAAGCAACAGAAGAAAACAGAAACATATATTTCTCACTCCAGTATCTTTTGCTGGACCATTAAAAATGCAAAACAATGGCAGCACTGTGGACTCGTAGTATATCTTTTAACTTTTCCTTAATTTTGGAAGTGAGAAAGGGCATTTAAAAAAAGAACCTGTGTAAACAGGGAGATTAATGCTGAATAATGCCAATGAATAAAGACAAGGAGAGGAAGAGCACAATGGGATATCTAGTTTTATTGGAAATATTAATGTATTTGATAGTGCAACAGATAATTGATTATTGTATACAGGCAGACTTGAACATTTTGGATGCAGATGAGATGGTTGCTGTAAAAAAAGAGTCACGTTTTACTGACAGTATTACTGACAACATACCCAGCAGACCTTAACGTGATGTTTTAACAGATCCATGCAAAATGGAGCCACTATGCAACATTACTTGAGAACTTTGCTACAAGTAGAGAAGGCCTTGAAGGGGAAGAACCATGCAAACAAGCTTTCACAGAAGCAAAAAAAAAAAAAAATTAAAAAAAAAATGATGATATCAGACATTTCGCTTATCAGTCAAATTGGAATTGATGGGGCTGTGGCACATGTCATGAAAGGCAGTAGTGAACACCCATAATGTTTGCATCACATTCACCCATAGCTGCAGAGTAAAATTATGCACAAATAGATGGGAAGCTGTAAGGTTGGCTCAGGATGTTAACATTTCAACCAGAATCTGTTTAATCTCATCACTGATCACCACCTACCAGTAGATTAGCTGAAAGGTTTGCTCAAAGGCTCAATAACACGTTGCAGTCAATGAATCAAAAGCTTGCAAATTTTCTATTTGCATATCACAGGGCAGAAGTCATAACAACAAATCAAATTCCTTAGGCTGTACTTTAAGTTCACGTTTACACCTTCTCAAACTTAATTTGGGAAGAGGTGATCAGGTCAAGCAATGGAATCAAGCTGAGTAATATTTTCATGTGGAAATTTGACATTTATCCATGGACAAACTGTGCTAGCAAGAGACTACAAAGGGGAATAAAAGTGGATAACTGTGGATCAAGCGGATCAAAGGAAAAAAAATCTGGATTATTTTTCTCTGTTGTCAAGATTGCCCATGATAACATTTGGTAATGACATATTGACTGGTTGAAGAGATCAGAAGAAAAAGTTGTGCCTGGTGTGATAGGAGATAGTACCTGTTTTTGCTTCATTTTTCTAATCTGATGAGAATAGTTATCCTAAGTTTGACTTCTATGCAAGTTGAAATAACTTTTAGAAAGTTATGTTTGCACAATTTTCTTTTAATATTTATTAAATTGCTCCAAATTGCCAGCAGTAGTGTCTCCTACTGAAAGTGGCAGACCTTAGCTGTAGAGCCCTTTCATCTGTAAAAACAGCTACAGAAAACTGCAGAACAGATTGTTTTTCAATTATACAGTTGCATTATTTTTCATTAGAGGAAATTATACACTACTTAATGTTTTTCATCTTGGATCTATCATTCTGGTTTTCAGCACAACTGATCGAGGCAAAAGGAAGTTCTCAGGGGAATGCACCTGGCCTTATAGTCTCTATTTTATATTTACAAATCTGCCCATTCCTTTTTTTAATTATCCAAGATAGTTAAGTTTTGTGGCCTTAGAGAAATTTCCTGTTAGCTCATGAGAGAGGGATAGGCCCATAGAAATATAAAATTACTTGGCTATGCCAATTCATGGCCATGTTGAAAATGACTGTATTGAGATTTCTAATTGATTCTAAATCTCTTTTTATTGATACACATTGGCATAGCTTGCTCATAGAGAGGGTTCCTCAAAACCCCACTGGTACAATCCATGGAGATGCAACAAGGTTATTCTGGTTGCATACATTTTATGGTTCTAAAATTATTTTCCATTGGTCCGTAGTAAAAAGGTGTTTTCATACAGCAGTCACATCATTCTATCTCTAAGATGGGATTTCAGGCTTAGGGTAGGACTTTGGTTAGCATCAGGACCATAAATAATGGGTTATCTTAACATCACAAACTTCAGGCTTAACAGCAGTTGTCTTTTTGTAAGTTCTCCTTTTCATAATGATGTCTGGTTGAGTCTGGCTGAAAGAAAAAGAATCATAAAAAGAAGAGGAAGCCTTAACTTCCTCTTAATTCTTGTTCCTCAAGAATTAGCACATATTGGTAACATTTGTGGCATGTTCCCTTTGTCGCCTGTTTATTGATGATGCATTTCCTGGAAAGACAGAATAATTAAAGGCAAACTCCAGACTTTTCCTGGCAATCACCACCCAGGGCAGTAAAAGTAGTTTAAAAAAAGGTGGCAATCAACCAGGGCAAAGGTATCACAAATAGAGCCATTTATATAAGAAAATTATATTGCGCACACTTGGCGTGAAAAGTATTTGGAACATCACTTACACTGTTCCATCAAAATGTAACACCGACATGATATACATTTTCTACCTGGATGTAGTCCAACGCAATATTATTCCACTTAGCTGAACATAAATTCTATTAAACTCAATGGAAGTTAATTTGGGGTACATATAGTGTCTCTGAAATGAAAGCAATCAAACTGAGCACCCACCTTGCCAAGGAGATTAGAAATATCTAAAATGACATTAGCGTTATTACTTGTAAAAATATCAAGAACTAATACTGGTTCATAGATTATCATGTATTTCTGTTTATCTCACTACCGAAGAAAAGAACTGTTCTGATTTTCCTCCAGATCATCTCCCCTGCTTCTTTCTTCTCTGGCCCCTCTTCAATTTACTCCAGGTTGCTAATCCCAATGTAGCTCTGTGGGTCTTTGCTGCTTTTTTTTCTTTGCCCAGCTGGCTCTGTGCAGAGCAGCCTTTGGCTGAAGCTCAGTTTGGCAACATAAAGGAGCCCCGCGCTCCAAATGCCTGCAGCTGAGCAGGTGGAAGGTCAGGTTGTGCTGCCAACACTGTAAACAGTCCCAGCATCGGTGCCACTTTGAATAAAGACGTCAGTTCCTATGCCTGTATCTCAGGAGGCCATTAAATTACTGGATTCTTCAACTTCCCCCCAACCACTCTGTATTAAACTTGCTTTAAAAGATATGCTTTCTTTTTTAACAGTAACACTGATGAAAGAGTTAGTCCATTGGGGGTTCGGGATGGTGATGTTTTAAATAGATTAAAACTTATTTCCATATCCGTTTTCCTTCCCCAGTCTTTCCCAATGCAGAGATTTATTGAATGCAGCTTACCCTCCTGTAAGCACTTATTAATATAAATTCCCCAAGATCCTTTTTTCAAAAATTGCAGATTTCCCACCCAGGCTTCTTTATGAAGCCTTTTAAAGCATAAATTTCCCCGGTGTTATCTCTCTTTATTATGTCAATACCCTGTTTTATATGCAATGTTCTGCAGGAGATTCTGTGTGGAGGAAATCACTAGCAGGTTCCATGCAGAGCTGCTGCTCATGGTGTGGGAGAGATGATTCTGGCAGGTTTTGAGAATTAATTCTGTGAAAATCTGTGAAGGATTTCTTTTTCATCTATGCTTGCAACTGCACAACTCTCTGTACCAGTGGTGAAATCCATTTTTTTTACTACCAGTTCTGTGGGCGTGGCTTGGTGGGCATGGTGTGGCTTGGTGGGCGTGGCAGGGAAAGGATCCTGCAAAATTGCCATTCCCACCCCACTCCTGGGGAAGGATAATACAAAATCCCCATTCCCTCCCCACTCCTGGGGGAAAGATATTGCAAAATCTCCATTCCCATCCCACTCTGGGGCCAGCTAGAGGTGGTATTTGCTGATTCTCCGCTACCGGTTCTCCAGAACTTGTCCGAACCTGCTGGATTTCACCCCTGCTCTGTACACATACAGATAGTCCTCATGTTATTACCATTCATTTAGTGACTATTCGAAGTTACAACTTTGCTAAAAAAAAATGTGACTCACAATCAGTCCTTGCACTTACAATTGTCACAGTATCACCATGGTCATGTGATCATGAATCGGTTGCTTGGCAACTGGCATGTTTTCACGACAGTTGCAGTATCCCAGGATCACATGATCACCATTTTTTTTATCTTCTCAGCCACCTTCTGATAACAAAGTCAATGGGATACACAGGATTTGCTTAACAACTGCAGCAAAAAAAACCTTATAGATTTGGATACAACTCGCTTAACAACCACATTATTTAACAATAAATAGTCCCAGTCCCAATTGTGGTCGTATGTTGAGGACTACTATACTGTATATAGGAAAACTAGCATTGAAGATAAAATGCTTGCTCCTGAGTAAGGTCTGAGGAAGAACCTTACTAGTTTGCAGGATCAGTAAGTCTTCTGCTCTTTATTGTATTTTACACATTTAGGAATAAATGTAGGAGAAAAGTGACAACAACTACAAGCAGAAAATTATTTACTCAGTCTCTCCTCTTAGATCTCCCGACTTCCCTTTGTTACTGTATATATTTATCAGTATTATTAAAACTTGGCTGAGATAAGTAACTTCTGATCTTCTTAGTGGCAAAGTTCACTAGTAAGTAAAATATAAAACAGCACTTCTATTATCAGAGGGAAACTGAGAGGTTTAAAGAGAAACAGAGTTTCACTCAATACACTTTGTACCCACCATAATTTAATAAGCTATCTTATCTCACATTTCTTAGTTCCTTGATTTGCAATGATTAAAATCCCTTACTAAACATTAGCATTACAATACATGCTGGTATCTGTATGTCAGAGCAAAAAGGGAGGAAAAAGGAAATCATATTAAACAAACAAAAGCGAACTGGTTCCAGGGTGTGAACTGGGGATGAAGTTGGCACCATCCCATTGTAATAGCTCTTCTGGTTTTATGACCTCTAGATGGCGCAGATTAGTTTTCGTGTAAGAAAAGCCCCTGATGAATTTTCTACTCTTCAGATCTTTCAAACCGGTTGGGAAACAACTCAAGAAAAAGTTGCAGAGAAGACTTCTAAAGCTGAGAAGTCGATGCAAGATTAGCAAAGTGGAGCCTACAAGTGGACTTTGGCTAAGCTAGAATACTTAATAGATATTATCTACTTAAATGGTCTGCAGCATCTGACAATGAAATGACCAATGTCAGCTGGAAAGATTATTTCGGTAGCTTGAAACTGGATATTCTCCACATGTTTTTAACCTACTGACTGCTCAGAGGGGTTTAAGTGCTGTAGTTCTGTATAAGGTAAGTTTTTTTTTTTAATGAAAGAAATTTAATGTTTGGAGACAATCAATAGTATTCAGGGCAGAACTGTGTTCTAGCAATCTAGTAAAGTTTTCAAAATATTAATATTTCGGGGTGAGGAAAGGACTATTGTGTGAGGACGTTGCTCTGAAAAGCATCATGTATCTCTTTTTTCACTTAGACAACTGTGTTACTTTTCTCAGTTGAGGACTTGTTCAGAATTAGTTTTTTCCTCACAGCACATGTAATAAAGCATGAAATTTATATCAAATCTGCTTTCTCTTTGCCGTATAGGTTTTTACAATGGTGCGTAAGTAGCTTTAGTGGACTTTAGTGGACAGTAATTTCAGGGCTTCCATGAAGGAACTGCGGTTTAATTATTTGGATTGTACAGAACACCAATTTAATATTTGTAGTTTTTATGCCGTCTGGAACAAAGAACATTACTGCGAGGCAGTAACTTGCTGAGATGAGGTTGATTGAATGTGGGGAATTACATGCCTGTAAATACAAGTTCAGCAGCCTGCACAGTTTTGTTTCTAGAGAAAAGCTTTCTCAATATTGCTCATCCGGAGCAACAGAGAACCAAGCACTGGTGATAAGAGATGATGATCACATTCTGTGGATCCCTGAGTATATTAATTAACTAAGATATATGGGGATATTTATGAGTTGAACTGGAAATATTATACAGTCATTCAGATTAGAGAAATTTCATTGATTTCCCACCATTTCACTAGAAAGGATCAGAATCCAAACTTTTGCATTCAGCAGCCTTGATTGAGGCCAAACATTTTTCAGCGTAAAAGAAATGTGTATAAGAAATGTGTATGGCTTTTGGATAGCAGTGGTGATTACATGACTGCAAAATAGAAGGGGCAGAACCAGGGACCAGAAGTTTGTTTCAATCTCTTTCAAGATTTAAGGACATCTTGATCATGAGAAACAAACTCCAAAGAGATAGGCTCCAGGTTGGCCATTTTGGATTCCATCTTTTCTAATTGTTGACTGTTGATTGTTACTTAAAATTGGTAATCCCTTTGGAATTATGGAATGTAATCCTTGATATGAAACATGTTTCGGAACATTAGTAGAGATTGGACTTTGAATGCATACGTCTAATAATTTGTTTGAAGTACTTGATTAAGAAGAGTTTTCCTTTGCAATCTCTCTGACAAAACTATACAATTAGTTTTCAATATTTTTGATGGCTGTGTGTTTTTCACAGCATATACTTCCATAAAAAAGAAACTTATGGGTCAATTAATCTCTCAGTTTATGCTCTTTTTTTCACCCTGAAGACACAAACAACCAAAGATGTTGGTAGATTTCAGTCTTAATAATTGAAAGCTTTCAATGTTAACATTATTAGAGGTCTTAATCAATGTAACATAAAGAAAGGTGCTGTCTTGATCCCAAGTCAATTCTTTCTGATGTCACTGAACCCCTTTGATGACAATGTTAAGAAGCTCAGGTCCTCCTTAGTCCCGACTGTGAGGTTGGTTGTGAGAGCCTGTTATGATTTTCTTCCAAATGGAGAGAAAACCATTTTGCATGTTGAAAGAAATTATCCTTAATTCTATGACCTAGCCTACAATACTTGAAGATTTTCTTTTGCATAGTCCCAGGTTAATTTAATATTTTAATTTCTGCAATATATTATTTCTCTTTTTGTTTTAATTATTGGTATTCTAGGTATTTGCTGCTGCTAAAGTAATTGCAGTGTTTTATTATTCCTTTCAAATCCACTCTTTTTATTATCCACTTAGAGTTGTTAGATTTTTTTTTAATTCTGTCATGATTGACTGCAATCATTTTGCTCTCTCAGTTGGAGCATCAACCCATCTCACCAGGTTTCCTCATATGTTAAGGTACATGGTAGCTAAGATATGTCAAATTATTCTGACAAGTGAAGTATCCCAGAATTACAAACTCTCCATTCTAAAACACCATGAATAATAGATTTTAAAATTAAAAATGTGCTACTTTTTATGACATTGAAAATAGGTAAGACAACTGCCTCACTCTACCAACTGATGGCACCGGATCCTCTTATTAATCTTATCTTTCTTCCAATCTTTCATGAGAGTTTAATTTTGATTTCTCAGTAGGAACCACCAAGCTTTTTCTTAATTGTCTTCTGTTCAAATGAAACACTGAATGCGGTGACTCCAATTGTATAAATGTTGGCTTATGCATGGACATGATGTATATCTGAGCCAGTGTGGTGTAGCTTTTAATTGTTAGACTTGGATTGGGGACAAGGTTCTAATTTTTTCTTATCCATGAAAGGTTGGGTGATTTAATATCTATTAAAAGAGCCTGGTGGCGCAGCAGACTAATAGCCTGTTATTAACATTCAGCTGCCTGCAATTACTGCAGGTTCGAATCTCCCCAGGCTCAAGGTTGACTCAGCCTTCCATCCTTTCTAAGGTAGGTAAATTGAGGACCCAGTTTGTCAATAAGCTGACTTTGTATAAATATACAAAAGTATGAAGGCTATTGCTTAATGCATTGTAAGCCGCCCTGAATCTCCGGAGAAGGGCGGCATATAAATCAAATTTTTTTAAAAAAATCATATTAACCTACACATCAGGATTTTGTTTAGTGTAACAGCACATACACACTGTATACATATATACAAACATACACAGTATGTGTGCATGTATGTGTGAGTGTGTGTGTTTGTGTGTATTTTATACACACACACACACACACAATATCTGAAGCTCTTGTGGCAAAGAAGAACTAAAATCTAAGAAATAACAAATTCTGGCAATTTTATTCTAAGATACTCCAAGTGTTTTAAAAAGATCTCTTAATTGAATGACGTTAATTAAATAATATTTATTCATCAAAAGCTGAATAAAGGGGGTTCCATATTTTTTGTGCACCTGGGAAAAGCAGTGAATACTATTATAGTCAGTTAAATTAAAGGCATGGAGCTGTTGGAGAGTTTAATTGTTGAACTAGATAAAACTATGAAAACTACAAAGTTAATTAGTTCAGAGGGTGATATGAACTTCGCTAAATGACTAAGATTAGGAGTATTTAATGTAATCTTTCTTGGCTGAGAAATTTTGCAATCGTTCATTTAAAAAGCAGCCAAAGTGAAAATAATTATTAAATGTTAATCTTTCCAAATATTTCCCCAAGGCATTTTTAAAAATTCCTGAGCACACAAGCAAAAACTCTAAGCAAAGCAAATCAATTACCCCTAGCACTAACCTCTTTGGCTTCAAACTGTATTCTTTGTGCCAAAGTCTGACCCGAATTGAACTGATGTAAATGAAATCTGGACTTCAGTCAGTCTAATAGTCCAAATGGGAAAAGCCATAATTTCTTGAGTGGCATGAGGGCACAGCAAAAAAAAAAAAAAGGGAAACATATGTGAACTTCAGAAGCTGTACAAGTTATTCAGAAGTAGCCCACTCTGCTCAATAGCTTTATTCACAGGAATGTGTGTAGAATTTCATCATTTTGGATTTTAATAATACTCAGTGTGATGTTATAATAATGTGAACATGGAAGAGTGTATTCAAGAGCAAGAGTGATATTTCCTTCATGTGTCCAATTTGTTAAAACAACTGTTGAAGTTTGATTTTTGGTGTTAAAAAGTAAAGAACAGTTATCCAGTGCATAAAATATTTAACCATGAACATATCATGGAAATGGAATTTGATCTCTACCATCAATGCAAATTAGACATTATTTTGACCAAACTGTTTGAGAAATGCTAAGAAGTAGCACTTTCGTGAGGAAATTTTGTAAGGTTGTAATCCTTAATTATGTGTTAATTTAACGAAACTAATTCAGTGGCATTTATTACCCTGAAGGTTACAGAATGACTGGTACCACTATTGGGCTCTGTGTATAAGAAAGCATCTGTTCCATTACCCTACTTTCCTGATAATTGTAAGTGAAATACATTGAAAACAGTGGTAGGTTGCTGCTGGTTTGTCCCGGTTCATGTGAACCGGTAATGGCGGTAGCAGGAGGCTCCACCCACCTGCCCAGATGTCATAAAAAAAGCTCTGCACATGTGCAGAAGTGCTGCGCGCTCACACGCTACCGATAGCAAACCAGTAGCGCCGGGATTTGGAACCCACTACTGATTGAAATATAAATGTAGATAAGAATTCTGGGCAAAAACTTTGTTATTAGTAAAAGCTTTATAGAATATATATCTTTGAGTCATCGCACACTCAGATTATTCTTAGAAGTAAACAGTAAAGACTAGACAGGGCAGAAGTCAAATCAGTTTAGATTAGGGATGAAAAACCCTTTCCAAAACAATAATTTGAGGATTGAAATGGGGGAACAGATAGACTCAAAAAGTCAGTTTGGGTGAGGAGATATAGTTACATTGATAAATTGATTCATTAATTTTATTTCATGTGAAATACATTGTGATGAAATAAAATTCTATACAAGCTTTTAAAAACTTCTCTACATGGTGCCTTTCTTTCTCTTAGTAGCAGCTACACAGCTTTCAGTTTCAATCTAGACCAGGGTTTCCCAACCTTGGTAACTTTAAGACCTGTAGACTTCAACTCCCAGAATTCTCCAGCCAGCATGGGGATTCTGGGAATTGAAATCCATAGGAAATCCTGGTCTAGAGCATTTCTGCTGACTGCAGACACAGATGCAGAAGTAAGAAAAACTGTAATAACATTGATTTGGTGGGATGTTAAATCCATTCAGGGATTAGAAGTAGTTGAAGCCTCTGGACAATCTCAAGGCCTTTAATGAAAGATTAAGGAAGTGCTGCCAAAGTGGGGTAGCAAATTGCTAATCCCAACATAAACGGCTTGGAAGGTAAAAGTTTCATGCTGTAAAAAGAAGAGGCAAGTCAATTGTCTCACTCACATCCAGCCCCCAAGGAGATTAGACAGAACAGCCACAATAACAACAAAGGAAATACTGCCAAAATCACCAACTTTAATGCCATTTAAAAAAAATTTGTTAGCTGATTGGAAGGATCCGTATAATGTCCTGTT